CTTGAGTGAGCAGCCATAGAAATCCTACCTCGTACAAAGCGAAAACAAATCATTCGGCGTCTCAAAATTACTCCCTAGACTTCGTAATTTATGAATCACTAAACTGAATTCAGAGGCAAAATTAAAAAATGTTTCCAGGCATTTCCCCTGCAAAGTTAAACGGTACAAACTTCCCTGAAGGGATGGTTACGGTGTTAGGGATTGTTTCCCTGTCATGGAGCTACCTAGATTAAATTTTGGCAGGCATGGCAGAAAATAATGACCTTAATGTCCTCTGACTGAGGCCAGGAAAATATTCAAAACAGTAATATACGTTCTTTGAACACTTGAGCACGGAACGCCTTCAATTGCTCACATAAAACAGGACTAAGCCTGTGGTGTTTCATATAAAGCAGCATTATGTCCCATGCGGGCTGTGTGCATGAACTTTCAATTAAACTCTCCTTAGAATTACTGAGAATCACTGAGAATATTAAAAGTTACCTTTTCTCGTAGAATATTACTCAGACCACAATTGTTGGTACATTGAACCGGAAACTTTTGACAGACGTTCTGATGTTGCTGAAGAAAATCGAAAAGAAGTTTTTATAGCTAATGTACTTTCAAAATTCGTCCCGTATTATTCAAATTGACCAATAAAGACAGGCTATTTTATTAACAAGATTTATGGAGTAAAATACTCACATTTTTATCAGTAAGGAATCAAAGTTTTAGAACCCAACGTTTAAGCCCAACCTTTGTAAGATTTTCCCGTATAACAATTTTATATCAAATGAGAGAAGACACCTAGAGCTCAACAAAATCTCGACTTTATAAAAATTGACAATCGTCACCACTTTTCCCACTTTGGATGCTGCCCATATAAAAGCTTTGTATAGAATAAATCTATTTTTTTAATAAACCTGTTTGTTTTTCACGATAAATGTTCCTGGACCATATTCACAACTAACTTTCCTCCAGACACATTCCGTCATCTTGTGATTGTTCATATCTCGCCTGGTGAGCTTCTCTTTACATCCTTCATTTGGACACCCCACCACTTTGAATTGGCATTCTGACTGATGTGCCTTAAATCATAAATTATCGATAATAAACCGCAATGTGATAATGATCCAATCTGCTAAGATATACAACAGGCTAAAGAAATGAGAGATTTGATTGACAGCAAAACCATCGGTTAACTGACGGTTTAGGATTTAAGAAAAGAAATGTGAATTTTACGAGTGACTTGTTGATAATAATGATATCACTAACATTGGTGATAAATATTAAATAAACGTCTAATTTAAAAGGCACCTATAAAAGATTATTAGACAGGAAGAAATTCTGTCATGTAGCACGCAAACTGCTGACCATGACACCGCAGATTACAAATAATAAAACAACATCACTCTCAAGTTTGAACCGTTACTGGTGTACAAGAAACTGTTGAGTTGAGCCCTACAAGTTACCCTTATCTGCTTCATATAACATTTTATCTTGTTGCCTCGATGGTTAAGAGTAGCAGAAATAAGTTTTTGGGATTAACTGCAAATGAAGTGATGGAGAACGCCCTTACAATGGATATGACGTAGATATATTACCTGTACAGCTCGAAGTTCTCCGGTCCAAGGACACCAATTGTAAGAACATTTCACCTTGAGATCCAGAATTTTGCGATGACAAGCGACATCTGAAAATATCTGACAACCCAGACACGGACATTTGTCACATTGATGGTCAATAGATTCCAATCAGGAATCAGGTTACATGGATTTCAAGATAATTATGCTCAATTACGATCTTTACACACTTCAACGACAATATGGAGGACTTGAAATAAGACAGAAAGAGAATGAGATCTTGAGCGAGAAAAAAGAAATGCCGTCAGTTTTTGCTTGTAGCACAAAAAGGACGCGCAGTATTTAAATGGCTGACTGTATTAAAATAAAAGGTAGGTTTCACGATTCATCGGTGATCGCCGAATTCTCAAGCCTTTACGCAAAATTCTCAGGCATGGACAAATACTATATGCCATAGGTTCAAATAGCCATGGCTATTCAAACCGATGGCATATGTTTTGTACTCTACATGTAATAAAGACAATTCTCCTTTTCCAGCATTTCTGTGATCAATCACAGACAATGGTGACTAGAAGATAGTCAAGCGATGGATCGCACTTGCTATCGACTTACCGGCGTAATAACCCCCCAGGATGTTGGGAGAACCCGAGAAACGTTTGTCTCCGCTAGCTCGTGATTTACAAACTTTTCTGGTGTTCCTTCAACATCCCGAGTAAGTTGTTAAGCTGGTAAACCAATAGAAAATGCAAAATATTGCTTCAAAATAAACTTTTATTTTCAGTGGGTTTGCCCTCGAAGAATCTCGCTTATTTTATAAAGACACAAAAATATACATGAAAATGAACGTCGAAGAGTGAGGATCCTATGTAAATTAAAGCAAATTTCTGCGTTGACAAACGAAGGAGCAACGACGTTTTCTACCCTTGTGTCTGTTTTGTTTTGACTTCATTTTGCAATAGGGGCCACCCATTTGAAGGAGACTGCGTTTCGAGTTGTGCGTTAAAATACCTACCGATCTGTTCACTGAGAGCAGAACATGGAATCGCTAATTTGCGTGACCCAAAAGTATGAAGTTATGCGTTATAATTACCTTGTCACGTGAAAAAGGCTGTCTGTCGACTGGACATTTTGGAGAATGGCTTCAGGAAGGAAATTTGCAACAACAGATAAACAAAAAATCAGAAAACAAACAAGGTTTTTAAAAAATCGTTCATCGTGTGTATTATTTACTATTATTTACTATGAAGCGTTTTG